GAGGAGCTGAGCTGAGCGTCTGCCCGCACATGGCAGCAGCGCACAGTGATGCCATCAGTGTTCTGATAACCGACTTAATTTCCAGTCACACATCTTTTCTATATTTTATCATCTCCAAAGTCACAGTGTCTTAATTTTAGTGACGTGTCATAGTTTGACCACATTTCTTTCTTCTTAGTATCTGCCTTGCAGTAGATGCTGCCTGGGACTTGATGGTATGCAATGAAGCTGACCGACAGAGTGCTCAGCTGCTCTTTCACAAGGAAGTTTTAAAAACAACGGTCAGCCCTTTGTTTCTTCTTGCACATGCCTGACGCAGAGGAGTACAGACCTGCCCGGGGCTCAGCGTGCTCCCCACCCCGTGCCCGGACAGCCTCTTGTCCCTGTGCACCCCGTCTTCCCGCGCACCTCTGTGTGTGGCTCCATCCGAAGCCACCGCTGTCATGCTTAGCACCGGGGCTTCTGGCCCCCAGATGTTTCTAGTAGTGCTGTGTTTCTATGTACAGATTTTACAGCCAACTACTAGAAATTAAATCACTTTGCTTCCCTTTTGCTTACCTGAAGCCAAAACATTCCTCTTGGGCATTCAACTCTCACCTTTCTGTATCATATTTTCTTCTTACTCTCCATTTGTTTTACTCTAGGAATGCTAGTTACATTCTCTGTTCCCAGATGAGAATGGGCTCTCCTCTGGAGAGTTGTCGTCTTCCCCCAGATTGCTTTGTAGAAAAGAAGCTACTTAATAAAAATGTGTAGTTCTCACTTACCACATGCTCCAACTGTGACCTCCCTGTACTGACTGATGTGGGGTACACTGGCTACTTTGACAAGACCCTCAAATCTGTGCTCTCAGAGATTACACTTTTCCTGCCTGTCTGCAGACTCCTGGGCAAACCCTTCATTTTCCTCTCTAGCTCTCCCCTCCCATCTTCTCTGCCTTTCTGGTCTCTGATTTCCTGTCCCTATCATCCCCACCATGACTTGAGCAGACCCAGAGCAGAGAAACCCACATAGCTGAGGAGTTTGACTGTTAACTCCTGCACAGCATGCGGCACCCACCTTCCCAGCTCACAGGCAGCCCAGCTGTGAAATTCCAGTGCACATCTGCAGGCGCCTGGCTCAGGAATGTCGCGTATGTCTCGTGTGGGTGGATGATTGACTTTCTGTGTAGCGAAAGAGGCCTGGCCAAGGGCAAATGAAGGAAAGGTTCTTTTGAAAACAAGAGCATTAGGCAAAATTAATTTAAATGGAAATTTGAAGACCGGAGACCAACTGCTTTTTAAGTGGATAATTTAAGGAATTAGGTTTTTAGTGCTGGAAAATATTTCTCAAAGCCATTTACATATATTTAGCTGCGACAACTGTGCCCTTACAGAAACGTTTCACTGCCGCTCCCTCTTCACCCCCCATTCATCCCTTCAGGTTTAGTCATCAGAGGTAGCAGGCTTAGACCCTGTGTCTTTAAAAGACTTTGGGATCTTCAGCTTTCAGATGGTTGGTTCTGTTCCAGAAGGGTAGCTGTGTCTCAGAGCAGTCCTCAACTCGGCGTGACTGGGGGGGGTGGGGGAGTGGGGGCTCTGAACTAGTCTAGAAGTAGAAAACGGCCTGGTTGCGGGTTCTGTTCATTATAGAAATGTGAGATGAGGACTTGTAGCCAGTGGGCAGTGAGATATTTTAGGTTCTGTTTCCGTAGTGTCCTTATCTGTCTGTTGCTGTCCAGTACAAGGTTTGTTTCTATGTTCAGTATGGTTTGTTTCTGTTTAACAAATGATAAAACTGCTAATGTTTATTGGCCGCATGTTGGGCACTGAGCTAATAAGTTCTTCCTCCTTATTCCTCGCAACATTCCTATGAGGTAAATACTGTTCCCCCCATTTAATCTTCATCGCCAGCCTGCGAGGTGGGCGCTCCCATTGCCCCTGCTGAACAGCTAACCGAACCCGGGGATCAGAAAAGCCATCTTCTCATTCGAGGTGCCATAGTTCACGAGCAGAGCTCTCGCCCCACCACTATGCCACGTCTCCCAGGAAGTTCTCAACTGCCCTGCTAGGCAGGTTTCCCCCAGACTGGGCTCAAATCCGGGCCCACTGTTGTTGGTGACGCTGGGCAGGTTGCTTTCCGTGTGATTGGGTGTCTTCACTGTAAAACTGATACAGTGAAAACATGAATCTCATAGGGTCGTGGAGGTTACTGAGATTAAGGTCCTGCTCAGCACATAGTAAGTGCTCAATAGGTAGCTGCTGTTACTGTGAACTTGTAATTTTGGGCAATTCTGTTTCGGATAGGAATACTCTCCTCTGTGAGTAGCAGAAAATCCAGGCGTCAGTGTCTTGAACAGGAATCTGTTTTTCCTGTGAACACGAAGTCTGTCTGTGAGTGCTGGCCTTCGTTCAGTTGTCCCACAGTGTCACAAGACCCAGCACCTCCTGTCTTGTCCACCACCGCCCTGAGCACATACTCTGACTTTGAGGTTCACAGGTGGCTGTTGCAACTCCAGACATTTACATTCCGGGGAGAAGAATGAAAGGCCATGCTCAACTCTTCCTTCTCCCTTTATTAGGAAAACCAGAAACTGGCCCCAAATGCACTAGCCGGCCTGTGTTTTTATCTAACTGGCTGGAATGGGGGCACAGTAGCTAGACAGTAGAGGCTGGAAAGGGTATTCAGGAGTGTAGGGTGCAGCTCAAAAGTCAATTCTTAAATTTTCAGAAAATTTGCAGTCTAGTCAGTATCACCTGGGATAGCTTGACATCTTTCATGGTGGTGAAGTACTAACTGCTACACATCAGATTCCCTTCCCCAGGCTGGTTGTTAAATATTTACCAGCGTGTCACTGGGTATGTGTAACTCTATATGCCATATGCAGGGGGTAGAGCTGAGACATAGGGGTTGGGAATGGTTATTGGGTCATTCAGGCAGCAGCATTTGCCAGGGTCATCAGTACATGGTTTAAAGCAATTTTTAAAAAAGATTTTATCTACTTATGCAGACAGACTGGGGTAGAGACCAGAGGTGCAGGGGTTGAGAGGATTCACCAGAGACAGAGTGGGGAGCAGAACAGGCGGATCTACTGAAATACATTGTTGAGGGGAGCCGTGGGTAGGTCTGGAGAGGTCTGCCACGCCGTGTGGGTCACGTCCCTGGCCGGGGATGGAACTCAGGCTGCAGTAGCTGCGACAGTTTCATAGTGCTATGCTTGAACCCGGTGCACCACCAGGAAGGGCCCTAAAGCTTTTTTAAATACCATTGATCACAGGAAGTCAGAGCTGTGGAGAACATCTCAAGATTGTGTAGGATAGTCCGTCGTTTGATTCCGGGAGCGTGTGCTTTACCCCAAGCCCTAAAGATAGTGAGCAAAGTTCTTCTGGATTCTAGTTGTCCTGAGAGCCCATTGTTCATTCTCGGAAACTGAGGGTTCGGATTCACCCTTCTGCCTGCTGCCCCCTGCAGGGCTCACCAGTGTTCCGTTGCCAGCTTTGTGGCGCTGGGAAGTTTTACTGTCCGGCTGTTTCCCAAGAAGCCTTCTTTATTAAACTGCTTTGTGTTAGATTTTATAGAATACTGCATTGATTTATTTTATTGTTTTTAAAGATTTATTTATGTATGCATTCAGAGACAGTGGAGAACAGAACAGGCAGATCGACAAAGTACATTACTGAGGGGTGCAGCAGGGAGACAGGAGAGGTCTGCTGTGTCACGTGGGTCACTTCCCTGGCCAGGGATGGAACTCACACTGAAGTGGCTGTGGCCAGCTCGCAGTGCTGCGTCCTAACCTGTTGTACCACCAGGAAGCCCAGCATTGATTTATTTTTAATCAAAGACATTTAAAGTATTTTGGTTTTGCTACAGTACAGCATAAACTAATGCATTGGAAGTTTAAGGATAAA